TATTATTTCAGGGCTGAGAAGGGGGCAATACAAGATCATAAAGCATATATAAAGCAATTGGAGAGAAATAAACAAGAAGTTGAGAAAGAGAAAAAGAGAATGGACCGTGAACTTCAGAAGGAAAAGTTGAAAGCTGTAAGTTCCAACATCTTTTTAGTTTCTGGCTTGTCTACATGATTGAATTGTTTTACTATGCTATAGTCATTATTCTAACGGATGCATCACGGTTAAAGAGTTGTGACACATTGAACTATGGGCTTGTCCTCCCTAGATCTTTTTTAATTTTGTATACATAGACAATGCATGAGTTCATTTGCACCTCAATGAGCATGTTGCTTTTCTGATTCATGAGCAATGGTTTGACTATAGGAAAAGGAATTGAAGCGCTTGCAAGAGGAGGCAGAGAAGGAAGAGAAGCGTTGTGAAAAAGAAGAGCTTGAGTTGAAGAAACAACTTAAAAAGCAGGAAGAAGCTAAGAAAGATCAGCGTCGGAGAGAGAAGGAGGAAGCTGAATTAAAGAAGCAACTTGCCCTACAGAAGCAAGCTTCCGTGATGGAACGGTTCCTTAAAAGAAGCAAGACTACTTCACCTGTTCTGGATGACAAATCCACACCTGGTTTGCCTTTGTCCAGTAAGGCAAGAGAATGTGTCCATGAGTCAATTGCATGCTTGATGGATTCTTCCCTTTTCTCAGATCAAGAAATTACCATTGGCCAAATCTGGAAGTAGGTTTGGATGTTCTATTTTTTTCTTTTTATCTTCTTCACGTGCTTGTTATTGTTGTTTCTTTCTTCACTGTGTCATACAAGTGTGTCAAGATTAATGTTTCTGTGGTTAGCAGGTCTCATTTGTCATCTTGGCATCGTCTGGGTCTGTCTATCCGCTCAAATCAAGAACAGCATTGGGGCATACGCAGGAAACCCAAAACCGAAATCTTCAAGGAACTTAAGCTCACGACACCTAACTCTGTGAAAGGGGCAGCGCAGGATGATGAGTTGAACCTTGAAAAGATAGTGAGTGGATGGAATGAGAGGATTTCTGATGACGCGTCAATATGTAAAGCTGGAGATAAGTCTCATCTGGGTATGAGGAAATGTGTCAGAAGGAAGCAATTATTGCAGTTTGATAAAAGTCATAGGCCTGCATTTTACGGTATATGGCCTGCAAAAAGGTAATTCTCTTTTGTTGTTTGAGACTTAATCCTATCTCTGTCATCCATCCGTTTTCAGTTGCCGGGTTATCGGATGTTAGCTTTCTTTGACGGTTCCATATTTTTCAATCAAGAGATATTCATTAAATTTTCCTTAGGACCTCTTTCCCAAAAGAAAAGGAGGGACGGGGGGGGGTTGGAATTATTGCTATATCATAATTAGAAAAAATGCAGTTGCTTATTCATGCAAAAGTCGGATGTACTTTATGTCTTTAAAAGTTCTCCCATTTTCTTGGAGTTTTATAAGATTAAAACGGGTGGGGATAGCAATAAGCAATTTCTGGCTTTTTCCCTGTTTGAGCATGGTTTCCCTCCAACATTTGATATTTTTTTTTTAGCATTTATGTTGAGAAGACACCAAGAAGCTCCCAGTGCTTCGTGGGTAGTATTCCATGAAGTTCTAGTCTGAGAGGAATATAGAATAAGATTGATTTATTCTCCGGCTAGTAACCCATAGATGTATCTGTATCTGTCTTCAACATATGTCTTGGTTTACTTCCTCATTTTCCTTGACTCATAGTGTCCTTATAAAGATCATAAGTAGCTGAAATTCCCTATTGCCAGAAAAATTAGGTTTCTACTAGAGAGTTGGATTGTTTTCCTCTCCCCATTTTGAGGATATGTTTTGAAATTGTCTGAAATCCAAGCAAAGATTGAGCCTTTTGCAAATTGTGTTAAGGTTTTTTCTGTTGTATATTAACAGTTTGTGCTTTATTGATCATATCAGTGAAACTGTTGGGTCGCGCCACCCATTTAGGAAGGATCCGGAGCTTGATTATGATGTTGATAGCGACGAGGAATGGGAAGAGGTATATCTTCACAAAATCCTTAACTTCCTTGATATCATGATTGCAGCTGCTTTTGTGATATAGATGTCACGGTTGTTGTGCAGGAGGATCCCGGAGAAAGCCTATCTGATTGCGATAAAGATGATGAAGAAAGCTTAGATGAGGGTTGTTCCAAAGTTGATGAAGATGAAAGTGAGGATGAGTTTTTTGTACCCGATGGTTATCTCTCGGAAAATGAGGTAGCAATTAAAACCCTATAGCCTTGCATCTTCTTTTTCTTGCAATTATTTTATTTGTCAAAGGTATATCTCCATTATGGTGCTTGGGGATCAATGAAGTAACGCTTTGCCTGTGTTAATCATTATCGATACTTCACCATGTTGTGTGCTTTCCTTTTTCAACAAGATCTTTTTGTTGCTGAATCTCTTTATCTGTAAGAAGGGTCAATGCTGATGAATTTACCATTGCATAGTGCCTTTGCCTGGGAGAAATGTTTGTGAAGTTGGGAATTGGTGGGATGCATTTTATTTTCGGTTAGCAATGCCAGGCCTGGATACGTGCCAGGCCTGGGAATTGGTGGAATTGGTGGGAATTGGTGTAAGTTTTCAGGTGAGTAGTCTGCATCTGCTACTGGGGGCTCCTATTTCTGGTGTACCATGTTATATTGTCAATGCCATTAGCTGAATGTTATGAATGGCAGTATTACTCGAGTGTTTTTGCTCATTTTTATCTTCTTGGTTCTTATAGAGCGGAGCTTTAGTTTCTAAATTTGGGTGGACACTTGACTATTTTTGGGCATGTATAGGTCGAATAACATAAAGTTCCTTAATATGCTGGTTGGTAACACACAGTATAAGTAAACCCAACATTCTTTTCATTCTATAGGATTGTCTAAAGAATCTGTTTGATGGCAGGGTGTACACGTTGACAAGATGGATACTGACATTTCAGTTGAGGGCACGACTTCATCTTCTGACCAAGACTCAGAGCATGTGGTCTTATCTGCACTTCTTCAACAGCAGAAGCATCTGTACAATGTGACAGAGCAAGCACTTCGAAAAAATCAGCCCTTTATAATTACTAATTTATTTCATGAGAAGTCCACGAAACAAATGGCTGGAGAAGTTAGTGCTGCTCAAAAGCTGGAACAGATGTGCTTGGAAGCGTTAAGCATGCTTATCTTTCCGGGTGCCAAACTTCCAGAATGTCTAGCTGACAACATCTTGAATGAGGATGAAGAGGATTGCCCAGCTAACAGCAAGAGCTTATCAACACCAGCAATACACGCAGATGTACCTGATTCTGAGTTGCCCACCATTGTAAGCCGTGTTCTTACTCTTAAAAGAATTTAGTTTCCTTGTTTTTGTGGAGCAACCTGAACTGACTATTCACTTGTGTGCACCTAATCAAGTGATATTATTGTGTTTCCTCCTTGGGTTTAATGGTAGCTTGTTGATATTTCAGGTATCCACTATTCAATCATGTCCACGAGGTATTAACAAGGTGGTAGACTCTTTGCAACAGAAGCTTCCTGATATATCTAAAACACTGTTGAGGAATAAAGTTCGTGAGATATCAGATTTTGTGGATAACCGCTGGCAGGTCTGTTTGAATGTCTGGATTGCAAAAGAAAAAATGTATGCAATTTAGTTTTGTTGCTTTAAAGCTGGTTTTTGTTCTGGCAGGTCAAGAGAGAAATCTTGGACAAGCTTGGTTTGTCTGTTTCGCCAGGTATAATAAATCAGTCTGGACTTGTCACAAGCTATATAAGCTGTCTCTTTATTGTTTAGCTTAATCTGTTTTTTTATTGCTCATGTTGTTAGAGAGGAGCGGTGGAAGGGCCAAAAGTATAGCTTCTTTCTTGAAGAGGTGCTTGCCGCCTGCTGATGGGAGTGTGAATGCAGATGAGATTTTGTAGTCATCCTGAAGTTCTGCTGTCTGTGTGAAGCAGATTGCACATAAATCAAATCATCTCTTACTAGAATGTTCCATAAATGGTTCCACTTTTGAGCCATGTGACTGGCCAAGTCTAATGCAAATCATCTCTTACTAGGATTTTCCCATAAGTCATGCGTGTTCCAATTTTGAGCTCTGTGATGTAAACTGGTCAGAAGTCAAGACTGGCCATGTGTAATGTACTCTCCTCGACTATTATGAAGCAGATTGCACATAAATTGGGATTTCCCATAAATCATGTGTTCTTCTTGTTCCAAATTTGAGCTGTGATATGTGCACTCTCATACTGGTTGGGTAAAAATGGTCAGAAGTCAAGACTGGCCAAGTCCAAAATGGTGCATGAGTTACCAAATTTACCAAGGGGTGCGCTATGGAGCTGCTCTGGTTCGTTTACAAGTGCTATTGATAGCTGCTTTTGGGGTCTAGTTCGGCGAGTTGATGACAGCAACAGAAGTGGATCGGATTCCACATTGACATATAAATGTCATGAACAAGAATTGCGAAACTCAATACGGTATTACCGGTTAATCATGATATTACTGATAAATCAAATCATTTCTCACTAGGATGTCCCATAAACGGTTCCACTTTTGAGCGATGTGACTGGCCAAGTCTAATGCAAATCATCTCTCACTAGGATTTTCCCATAAGATGTGTGTTCCAATTTTGAGCTAAGTGATGTAAACTGGTCAGAAGTCAAGACTGGCCATGTCTAATGTACTCTCCTTGACTATTATGAAGCAGATTGCACATAAGTTAGGATTTCCCATAAATCATGTTGTTCTTGTTCCAAATTTGAGCTATGTGATATGTGCACTCATACTGGTTGGGTAAAAATGGTCAGAAGTCCAAAATGGTGCATGAATTACCAAATTTACCAAGGGGGTGCGCTATTGAGTTGGTCTGGTTCATTTACTAGTGCTATTGATAGCTGCTTTTGGGGTCCTGCTCGACATCATTTGTTTGTCTATATACTAAAGAAGAGCCATTCGGCGAGTCGATGACAGCAACAAAAGTGGATCGGACTTCACATTGACATGTAGATGTTATGAACAAGATCGAATTGCAAAACTCAATACGGTATTCCCGGTTACAATCACGATATTACTGATAAAGGGAACGAATAGAAAGCAGATATATGGATCATATATGCGAAAACAAATGAATGAATGAAAGGGTGCGGGGAACAGATCGGATCCCCAGATGCTTTTTAGACCTGGAAGGGCCAGGGCCAGTCACTCATGCTCTCCTCCTGCACCTTGGCACTCCTCCTGAGAGGGTTGCTGCTGCTGCTGTGGTCGCCCTCGACGTAGGCGTAGTACTTGAGGAAGAAGGCGAGCGTGAGCACCACCCACTCGAGGCAGAACATGAGGACGCACAGCCCGCCGGCCAGCTTCAGGATGATGGCGCCGTCCTCCTCCCTCACGTAGGACTTGAGGTTGCCGAGGAAGTCGCCGGTCCGGGTGAAGATGAGCACGGACACGGATCCCTGGAAGATGGCGGTGAGGACGGTGGCCACCATGTGGGCGGCGTACCACCTGCCGCCGGCGGACCCGGACGAGGAGGCGGCGGCGGTGCAGCCGGAGACGGCGCCCGCGATGGTGAAGACGTGGAGGAGGATGAGGAAGAAGCCGCAGAGGGAAGGGATCAGGCGGAGGGAGAGGGTGAGGAAGATGCAGCTGGAGGCGGCGCCGAGGAGGACGTAGTTGCAGAGGAGGAACACCTTGTGGGTGTGGTAGTAGTGTGCCGACGCCGACGACATCGAGGCGGTCGAAACCATCCCCATTTCTTCTCCCTCTCTCTCTCTTTTCACTTGGGCAGAAGCTGAGTGAGAGCTGGTGGATTGCTGAAGAGGAGGAGGAGGAAGTGAGAAGAGGAGGAGTTGTTGTTGTTGATGGGGGATGGCAAAGATGGGAGAGGTTTGGTTTTTTTTATATTGGGGGCAAGAAGGGTGCTCAAACGGTCACATTTGGCTCTGTGGAGCAAAATCTGACCGTTGCAAAAATAAATAAAATAATAAAATAATAATGAAAAGAACAGCAGATCCTAAGGCTCAGGGGGGTCCCACCGACCTTCATTTGCTTTAATTCTAATTGACTGGTCGGCGGGACCGGAACGGCTAGTTTTTTCTCCGTTTTTTTTTGGCCCTAATCATCATCAACATTTTCATATAATCAAAATCACACCCAAGAATTTTCTAATCACCCCGTGTTTATCATAAGCCACATTCCAAAGGCGAATTTTTTTTTTGACCTCGGACGCCTCCTCTGATCTTGTGCCAATGTTCGAATGCCGACCTATTCGGGAAGTTGGGGGGTGGGGGGTGGGGAGGGAGGGTTTTCTTAGGACCGGTTAAAATGATTTCAGGTTGTGAATTGGGAACGGGAGGCGATATACTCGAAAGACGGGAGGCGATATTCACGAGATTCCAGAGAGTCTTGCTTTCCCGGTCCTATTTAGAGTTTTCATGTCTTTTTCTCTTTCGATTCAAAATTAGTAGTAACATTGTACGGTTTTCACATTGATAGAAAGATCCATGCGAATTTCTCGGTCTTTTAATGAACCGTTCGTGTCGGACCGGATAAAAATTTAAAGAAATAAATTATTCACGAAGATTCCCTAATCCGCTCACGATCCACCGTTAATTAAAAAAAAAATCTCCAATCCCGCTCGATTTTTTGTTTTACTTTTTACTTTCATTTTTTGCCAGAGAAAAAACAAATTAATGGCTCGGCTGACACCATTCGCAGTCGCATCGCAGGTCGAGAAAAAGCTGCGAAAAGCCCGTGGTCGATCTCGCGGTCTCTCGCTCGCGCCTCCCATGGCGGCGGCGGAGGAGGTGGAGGAGCTCGAAGCGGAGCGCGAATCCACCCACCACCCACCACCCACCGCCACCGCCACCGCCACCGCCACCTCTTCTCCCGCTCCGAATTCCCCCTCCCGACTTCGCCTTCGGCGTCGCCGCCTCTGGTCCGAGCACGTCAGATGGGATCACGCGGCGACGTTGCATGAAGCTGTCTCCTTCGTTTCTTGGCGTCTGCAGGGCCGAAGGAAGCGAGCTTCCGGCGGAGGGTGGGTGGTAAGAGGTTGCGACCATTTTGGGACGATTGCCTTCTCCTCGCGCGTTGAAGGGCGAGGCAAGGGCAAGGCTTTCTTTCTCTCCAGCAGCGTCTCTCTCTTGGCGAGAACCGATCGCAGCTGCTCATTCCGTCGTCAGATCTTCTCATGGAGTCGTGAGATGGGACTCTCTACCTTTTAGCTTTTTCTGGGAAGAATCGTGCATGGAAGTGGCTGTGGACTCTTGCCCATCTTCCATAATTTCTCATACATCTCTCTCTCTCTCTCTCTCTCTCTCTCTCTCTCTCTCTCTCTCTCTCTCTCTCTCTCTCTCTCTCTCTCTCTCTCTCTCTCTCAACCTTCTCCTCCTCTGTCATGATTTCACAGCAAGCCACACATATGGCCACTCGTCGGAGCGATGGTTTCTGTCGACCCAGGATTGGCTTGCGTCGCCGCGCTCTCGAGCTGCGACACCCTGATAACAAAAGGCCGTCCTCGACGCGGCGCGACGGACCTGGAGCTATTCATGTCCCAGCCCAACATGGTCTTTCTCGTTCCCTCCCGTCCCCCATGAGCGTGACCTGCTAGACCTTGCCGGACTCGACGGCGAACGCGCGGTTCGACGAGTCCCCGTCGCTTCCGCACTGAAGAGGCTGATGTAGCCGTCGTAAGAGGCTGTCAATAAGTCGGAGACGGGTGTGACATCGCGAATGTTGGGCCGCCGCCGGCGAATAATTCTCTCTATAACTCGTCAATTCTCTTCATTATCGTTATTTTTCCCGGAAACCGTCATTGTCCAGGCTTTCATTCCACGAGCATAATATAATAACCTCTCCGAATAGCCGAGAGAGTAGGAGGAACGCAGAGTAATCAGCAGATCGTCGAGAGAGCTGCATATGTCGGATCGATAGCTCGAGGTCCGTCGTGTCGAGGACGAGCGATGAGGCAATCCCGACGAGCCTCCCGAAGCCGAGAGTGTTCGCTCGAGCGGAGACCCGACTTGGAATCCACCATCGATCTCGGCAAAAAGAGCCTTACGTGCGTGGCTTCCTGTGAAATCATAACAGAGTAGAAGCGGGCTCATTTGAACCTTTCACCATTTTTTTTTTTTCTGAATTGCAAAGGGGGTTGAAACTTAGAAACTCTTGTAACACCTTCTTCCCTCTCAAACTCACACCACATATTTAGAGGAACGAGACCAGTTAATGATATGATACGAAAAATAGACAAAGGAGGAAACATCATAAAATAGGTTTTTAATAGGAAATCGGTTGGTCATAAGTTAAGAACAGAGAGAAAAAAATCGTTAATAGTATTAGACCAAATCGGATATCACAAGGGCATATTAGTCTATTACCTCAAAAAAGGTGTGTTATTAGTCAAAAAGAAGTGTGGAAATAGCGCCGCTCAGGACTGAACTCTGCGCTGGACAGTTAGGCTCAGCTTCCTCTTGTTCATTCTGTTGGATGTTTGTTTGTAAAACAAACAAAATAATGCTCTTTCCTGTGTCCCATATAGGAAAGTTTTGAGAAAGTGGGTTGTTTTATAACTGTGAATATCTTCTTGCTCCTTAGAGTGAAGACAATGGGGTGTGTATTAGTCCACACAATACCCGCGTGCGGGTGCGGGTGCGCGATTATTAAGCGCACTTTGCGCGGCCGCGGTTTAATTAGCACTAATCCCTTTATATTTTTATTTTATTTCGTAAGGTTATCTTAGTAATTTTTATTTATTTTATTCCGAATTTTACATGTGTCTTTCCAAGACAACTTTTGGAGATTATACTTGTTGAGTTTTCAATCTTTTCCGAAGGGTTGCATCTATTCAGTTTGCAACTTCTTCCGAAGGAATATCTTTGTTAGCTTTGCAACCTTTCGTGAAGAGTTGCCAATGTTCTTTAAGACCGATTTCTATATATGTCAGTTTTTTGCAAGAAAGAAAACAGAGATCAATTTCTTCGAGTCTTCTTTCGAAAATTACAGCCATCATTTCTTTTGTTTGCTAGAGAGACTCTGGAGAAATACTAGAATTGCTATCTAGTATTCTCATTTTGAGACTTTGTTGTATCCTGGAGGATTTTTGCCGGTGACCATTAGCAATAATTGTGGGGCAAATAAATCCTTAAGGAAAGTAATATCACGCCTCAAAGTCCGACGTTATTGCTTTTTTTATTCGAAGCCATTTTATTTTCCAACACATTCACCACTCTCCCTCTCTCTATCTTCTTTGCTCTTAGTACTGTTTCAGCCTTCCACATTGTCCTTTGCACCAATAAAGGATGACCACGCATTCTGCCGCGGGAGGAAGGTTTCGCCGCTCGTCCTCGCTCTCACCACGGCCCATTCCCGTGCTTCATAGCCCCCTCTCGCTTTGACGCTCGACGAATCGAGGTCCTTCTCTTTCACCGTCTCCCGCCGTGGTCGCTCATGTCTTCTGTTGAAACTTTTCCTTCTTCACTTGGATCGAGACACTTGGACGGAGAATGTGCTCGTTTCGGTAACTTCTGATCTTTCTCCGGGGCTACACTTCTGTTTCGGCCATGTGTTTCTTCTTCACTTTCAGCAGTTACTTGTCGAGTGTGGCGTGGACTGGAGTCCCACTTTCGACCTTCTGCTTCGAGACTCGTGTTTCCTCATTTTGTTATGTTAAGAGTGAGGAAGGAATGATCCTCTGCCATTACATTAGTAGCTGTGAACATTTTTGATAGCTCTTGTTTCGGTGTCGGGTTTCCATTGCCATTTCCATGCGATGATTCTGTATTGGCTTTGAGTAACGGTTGATAACTTAAGCAGGAAAAGCTTTGATGGTCAAGGCATAGTTGTGTTTGCTTGACGGGGACGATGCGCACGATGACGATTCTGTTCTTGGCGTGGAGTGTTCTACGACAACGTTAGCCTCCTCTCCGTCATGTCTTTGTGAGCTCCTCTTCTCCCTTGCAGAATGCACTGTTTGATATTCTTTGTGTTTTAGACGAAGAATGATGCTGATGATGATTTTTATGTTGTAACAGATATTCTGATAAGTCTACTATGGTTATGGTTTCGTTGCAGAAAGAATCTGTCTCTAGGAGGCGAAGTTTCTTCCTCGTGATTATTCTTGCATGAAACCTCTTTCTTCCTCATGATTATTCTTCCTATTGTCATCTCATGTGTCATGCTCATTAATGGAATTGCCTTTTGAATTGCAAGGATCCGTCTGATAATTTGCTCTATGGAGACATTCCATACTCCATCTCTAAGCATTAGCAACTCGAGTTTCTGTAAGTTTACGATGTCATTGGTATATCTACAGTGGCGTTTAAGTGAAGTCGCGCTGATCAGCGTGTATCAACTGTTTTCATGCAGAAATTTGAACAACAATCAGTTGACTGGTCCCATTCCCTCTACCCTCACACAAATTCCTAACCTAAAAACACTGTCAAGTTCGATTTGTACTGCATTTGTATAATGCGCGGGCTATATCTTTTGCAACTGGTCTCTCTAGTTCATCAGTATATATTTTGATTCTGTACCTCAGAGACCTTGCTCGGAACCAACTTACAGGGCAGATGCCAAGGCTAAAGCAATATCTGTAAGTGTTGAAAATGTGACGAATTTAAACTGTCCGTTTTCGTAACATTCTGTTATTCATTCAGCTGATGTAGTGTTGGATGAAGTCATTTGGTGCTATTAACAAGCAAGTCTGGTTTTATTCACTAACGTTGCTTTTGCTTTGAAACTCCACAGGAAGTCACATGGAAAGTTTTTAAGTAGGACACGGTCCTGATATGTGTCAACTGACTGGTCTTTGGTATTTGTAAGCGATTACTGTTGCTGCTGATATTCGTGGCGATCATGTGCTTTCTGTTTAGAATTGTTTCCATTGTCGATCTCTTACTTCCTACACTTTTGCTGTTTCTAGTGATGCATGGGGCAACAACTTAACTGACACCATTCCAGATAACATCGATAACTGTACTAGTTTTGAGATCTTGTAAGTCACTGTCTCTTTCCTTGGCTTTTTATTAGTTGTTTTTTTGTATATGTTATCTATGATGGTGTTTGCCTATAGGGATATTTCATAAAATCAGATGACTGGGGAGATCCCGTACAATGTTGGCTTTCTGCAAGTCTCCACCCTGTAAGCTTCACTCTTGCACATTGTAACTTCACTGTTTGCCTCATCAGTTGTCAATGTCAAATGTAGTTGCATTCTTATGATTTGTTATGTCTAGGGATTGAAAATATGCTGTCTCAGGTCTCTGCAGGGGAATAGGCTAACTGTATTTATTCCTGAAGTTATTGGTTTGATGCAGGCCCTTGCTGTTCTGTATGTATCACAAGATTTTTAAATAAATCTGTTTTCATCAGGAGTGATAGAATGTTCCAACAAACTTCATCTTTTCTATTGGTGGGGTTATTAATTCCATGTCCTTCTAGCAGAGATCTGAGTGAAAATGAGTTAGTTGGACCAATTCCCCCAATTCTTGGAAACCTGTCCTATACTGGAAATTTGTAAGTTCATTGTTGGGATATTGTTATTTTTTCTGTCCTGAGGTCTTAGTCTGTGCATTTTGTATGACAGGTATCTCCATGGGAACAAGCTTACTGGAACAGTTCCTCCAGAACTTGGAAATATGTCAAAACTCAGTTACTCATGGATTGAAGGAGAGGTTTTCTGATGACATATCGATATGTAAAGCTGGAGATGAGTTTCATATGCGAAAATGTGTCAAAAGGAAGCAATTATTGCAGTTTGATAAGAGTTATAGGCTTGCATTTTACGGTATATGACCTGCAAAAAGGTAATTCTCTTCTGTTGTTGGAGACTTAGTCCTGTCTCCTTAATTAGTCCTCTCTCCATAAACTGTTTTCAGTTGGTGGGTTATCAGATATTAATGGTTCATGTTAGCTTTCTTTGGCTAGTTAGTTCAGCTTTCCCAATGAGCTTTGGGCCTCCAAAGCCCCTTGGGGTTTGACGTACAGTAGCTAGGCATTGCAGAGGGTTTATGGTTGCAATAAGTTGTTGAAGTTCTCTTTCTGATTGCTGATCTTTCCACTTAGAATTGCAGATAACTTAATAGATGTCCAACTTGTTCTCTATTTCTGTATACTCTCATTTATTGGGCAGATGTGGGGTTGAGTGCAGGCGGGTCGATATCGATTTGTTCTGGACCAGCACATCAAATTGTCATAAGATGATCCAGAGGAATAATGGATGTGACAGTTTCCAAGGCAGTCTATCTACCAAAGTTGTGTAAATGGGACCAGCAGTTAAAAAACTACAAATCCGACTTGTCCGTCCTCAAATGGGTGTGAATAGAATATTATGAAGAGAGAGTATGGAAGTCTTACTATCAAAAAAGAATTAGAGGTTATTTTGACAAGAAGAGTGCCCACCAGGAGACTCCTCGTCCTATCTTGTCCCTATGTTTGTATGATACCATTACCGTTTCTCTTTAATATCATATGATGGAGAATAATATTTACTCATTCAATCTTTCCTGATATAGAAGAGAATATCATAGTTTTTTGGTTCCAAGGGATGTGGTCAAATGGAACCTCGAAATAACTATAGCCACGAAAACACTTCTCACACTTCAAATTCATGGAATTATTATATAAGTCGAAAGACGGGTGTCCTGACATAGTTACAGTTTCCAAGCCGTAGCTAAATTATTTCCTAATATCTCGGCATACCCCGGTAGAAGCATATAACTCGACTATTACTAGTTCCGGAGTCGATATGAGAAAGTAAAGTTGGGATGTACATGCATGCTGACATAGGAAGCAAGGAAATTGATTATATTGTCAAAGTTCTTGATTTGAACACTCATACCTCTATGTTTCCTACATCCTTCATAGGTTGTCTATGACTAATTGTCACATGTTTTGAACCCTAGACCTGTCAAAATGGGTCTTCAACCCATTTCTTAACCCACATATGACGGGTTGGGATGTTATTTGGGTTAGTTATATTTAGAAAATGAATAAAAAATGGATTTAGAATGGTAAAACCCAACATATATGGGTGTTAAATGACTTTACAACTTGCTTAAATCCAACCCATTTCTATGACTCTCTCTTCAGTCTCCCTAACGCTCACTCAATCTTATGCTCATTCATTCCACACTCTTACCTCAGTTTGGGTATAAATTTTCTGAGATTGGGTTAAATATGAAAACGTTTAGTAACATGAGTCGGGTCGGATATATTTTGGGTATAAGTCATGCTGGGTATGGGTCATTAGATTTCCATTGCATGAAAATAGGTCAAAATGGGTTTATTTGGGTCAGACCAAACCCGACTCGATCCACTTGTTTGATAGGTCTATTGAACAACTAAATTGCGTAGAAAGTCCTGATTTTACTTCAAATCTTTCTGGACTGCTTGGCCGAGAATGATAGAGCTGCTTTGCTTCTTCCTTCTTCTTTCCAAGAGTCGCCATTAGGCCAACTATATGCATCCAGACATTGGACACTAGATTCAATTTTCTAAAGAGCCTACGGTTTAGAAGCTTAAGTTGTTAATTGAAGGTGTGGTTTAATATTTAAATATGTTGTCAATCTCCTTCACGTTTAGTCTGGTGTATTTATCTAGCACTAAGAGTGAACATATTTAATTAGGGAGGCTAATGAGGCTGGAAAGATTTGAACCCAAGACCACCTAGTACTAAGTGTTGATATATTTAGTTAGAGAGGCAAATGAGATCTGAAAAGATTTTAACTCAAGACTTGCTGATACCATGTGAGATTTTGTAAAATCACATCTATCTGTTTTAAAAGCTTAAACTCATATATGAAAGTGTTAAGCGTTGACATATTTAATTGGAGAGGTGCATAAGACTTGAACTCCTTACTCTGATATTATGTGAGATTTTATGGGACTACTATCGACTAATTTAAAAGTTTAAGTTGTTAGATGAAGGCGTTGTTTAATATTTAAATATTTTATCATTATATACTCATTACTCTAATTGTAGGGAAAATTGGACAAAGAAAAAGGACCCAAGTGTAGAAAAAAGTGTGAGTACTCACTTCCCATTTAGAAAATTGTACTCGGTGAAATTCCTTAATTGTCCTTAACGAATCAAACTATTATGAACGAATCGTGCATAGATTTAGGGCACGCTTTTTCCACTCTTTCTATTGCTTAGACACTCGTTTTTTTGTTGTTTTGACATCCTATCCTGCCACCACTCCTACTACAATTTTATATGGTCCCTTTTTTATTATTTGGTTAACTCTTTTTTTTGTTCCCTACTATCCCACTTGCCTTCTTCTTCTTTCTTTTCATGCCTTCCACTTGTCTCTCTGATCTCTGTTGCAAGTCATTCTCTTCTTTCTACGCCTCCCACTCATTTTCTTCTTCTTCCACAAATCTCTCCTGCATATATAATCCTCAAAAGAACTGCTTACTTTCACAATCCGTGCCCACTCATTCGCTATTGGAGGTACAATTATGGGGAAACCTTGTTTTTTTTCCATTTTAGTTTTCTTGATCTCGAATTATGCTCGTTCCGGTCACTATTGAGTACTTATTGATATCTTTTCTTAAAAGTGAATGACTTTTGGGTTGTGGAATTGCTTGATCATGTGTTTCACTCCTGCGTTTATAGCGTGGCGTGCATCAAAACAGTGTTTGTGAATTAATTGTGTAATTGCTTGAATTTTATTTTTCGTCACACGTAATAGAGTGACTGCAATTAGCTCCATGTTGTTCTTTTGGTTTGTTCTTTCTCGTTATTGCAGGTGGTTTTTATTTCCATGTTGGAGGTTTTGCTTAGTTGTCTATGAATAGGTTGCTTTTACTTTTCCGCAATTTCACCCGAAATTCAAAGCTTAAGCTTGTCGCTTACTGATAAAGAATATTGGCGATCGTCTTATTCAAGGACAAACATTGGAGTATGAGTTCAACCACGATGGGCACCGTGAAGAGAAAGAAAGATATAACTTTTGATTTGGTCGGCAAAAGCTAAGAGTCATGATTAAGTCATGTTTTCAATGGAAAAATCTCTTATTGCGCCACTCCTTGGGATAATATTGTTTTTTTTTTTCCACTATGAAAAGTTCAAGTTGGAAGAGGGCCACTGTGGCCGAAAGAAGTAAGAATAGAGGAGCGTGTGATATGGATATAGAGTAGTAAATGATGTCAAAGGCCTGATTGCTCTGTAGTCTGTACTCTGTAGCATACTTGGGTCCTATAAACTTTTGCTCCCTTTGGGTTCGGTTTCTTATTATCGTTTCTATAAGTTTGTCATTATCAGTTTTGGGATGCTATCGTTGCTTCTCATTAATTGACTTGTTGAAAATAATGATGCTGGATATGCTTAATATGGTAGTTTGATCTCTAGGAAAATTGAGGCAATTTACTTTCTTTAACGACAATGGAGGCCGAATTCTTTTGCTTTCTCGAGATTGTAGGTGTTGGGTTTAAAACTAGAGCGGATGGTGAAGAGGAGTGGGAGGTGTAAAAAGAAAAGATTGTGTGAAGCGTGGAGAAGACAGAGAGACGAGCGAGGCGAGGGGCATGGAAAGAAACAAGAAGAAGGAAAGTGAGACCCCTATGGAAAAAAAAAAAAAAGTTTGACCAAATAATAAAAGGGATCATATAAAATTATAGTAGAAGTGACGAGCCTCACAAGAGATAAGATGGTCAAAATAACAAAAAATGGAGTGTCTAATCCATAGGATGAGTATAAAAAGTGCGGCCCTAGATTTAAACACCCGAAGTGCGATATTTGAACTTCATTGCAACATTAAGATTCGTCTTTTTCTAAAAATTTCTTTTCTTGGCAATTACTATGATATTTGATTGTCATCTTTTTCTAAGTAAATCATTAGAAATGTTCTTTCTAATTCATTCCGAAATTAAGTTAATTCTAAATATATTTTAATAATACGGGTAAGGTCTGGGTCGGATTAAGCATGGATTGCTAAAATTGTATTGCATAAAAATGGGTCAATACGAGTTAAACGAGTCAATAAAGATTTGACCATTTTCGGCCCGATCCACGTATTTCTATTCACCATTGTTATTATAAACCATTACATGGTGAATTTTAACTTCGGACGCACTCCGACACTCAATACCTCCTCCGCTTTGAGCCAATTAAGCTCGATATGTCCAAATTTCAACTTTTTACCACGACATTATCGGAGCCGATACATCGACCGACTTAATAAGTCGGGGTTTGTACGACCAATTGAAACAATCTTCGTTGCAAGTTGGGAACAAAATGCTCTCCGCTCGTGAGGTGAACAATGGGTGAGGGCTGAACATCTGGACTACATATGAACGGTGCTTCCACTTGAAATTACTTAGGCTCCATTTGTTTCGCAAAAAATGTGACGTGTTTGAAAATGTTTTCCGGAAAGTCATTTTCAAGGAAAATAATAATATTTTTCCGGTGTTCGATTAAGATCTGAAAATGAACCGAAAAATATTTTCCGTTGTTCGATATGGAAAATCCTCACTACACTCTTTTTAATAAATTTTTGTTTTATTTTTTAAAAAAATTCTATTTTTTTAATTATTTTTAATTTTATAATGATTTTTAATAATTCTTTTCTTTTTATTTTTCTTTTTTTACCTTTCTTCTCCGGTCGGTCGCCGGCCACAGGACTCGAGCTTTGACACAGGCTAGCGAGCACGGGGTTGTTTAATGTGGTTCCCGCACTTTATTAGAGTGTGATTCATACTCCCAATCGACTAGACAATATGTCCCTCGAAAGCCATAGGTTTTTTTTTTCTTATTTTAAATTCGTGATTTTATTAGTAATTTGGGCTTGGGCCAATAAATAATTACTGGATTGATATAAATATATTCTCTTTCTCTTGTAATTGAAAGGTGATGTGCCAATTATAGTGGAACCCTCAACTGGACATGCAGCTCTAGTTTAAAGGCGAACTCGGATAATATCTTGCGTCTCAAATTCTCTTTTTTTCAATTTTATTCTCTATATTCTTTGTGACTGTGCGGCGGATCCTAACGAACGTCAACGTGCAATGCCGCCCCAAACTTTCAATTCCTTTAATTTGGTCCGTTTAATCTGGTCACTAAATTATATGAAAATATTCAATATTGTTTTCGAACTTGAATTAATAAAAGGATAATAGTCCAAGAACTAACTCAAATATGTACAAAAAAAAATTATTGCTCGTTTTTGAACAAAAAAAATAAAAATAAAATGATACTGCATGTTGGGATAAGGTTTCCGGATTATTAGTACCATTTAGAAAATTTACTTTACCGGTCACTCCGTCGAATCTCGGACTCGCACTCTTTCTCTCTCTCTCGCTCTCGAAGCAGCTCCCTCGCATGGCGAACACGGAGGAGCTCGCGGCGGAATGCAACTCCTCCGCCGCCGACCGCCGCCGCCGCCACCTCTCCCGCTCCGATTTCCCCCCCGGCTTCGTCTTCGGCGTCGCCACCTCCGCTTACCAAGTACGCACCCCCGCACACGCACACGCACACGCGCTCTCTCTCTCTCTCTCT